TACTGAAGCTTGAATTCAAAGAAAGAGTGAACGATTCATCTGAAACCTCCTTCGAAATAGCTCAGGAAGATATACAGGCAATTCAGCAAAATAGTCGAAAAAAAGCCTTTCATGACCTTGAATATGGTCACGATGAATGACTTTACGACCTCAAACAGAACCACGACGTGAGCTTGATTCTATCTCACTATCTAGTAGTTCTTCATCCATAGTAACAGCTTTGAGCATCTCCAAATCATCATCAGATTGAAAGAAGTCAGTCATTTACAAGCATATCATAAAGAGAATTGGAAGCCATAGAGAGAGATATGGAAGTTTGGATGAAGTACAAAATTAGGTTGAGGGTAAGTTAAAAAAAAAGGGAATGTCTTATTTATAATTGAAAAGTAAAAAAATATGATCGTTACAAAAATACGACCGTTGTAAAAATATGACCGTTGAAAAAATATGACCATTGTAAAAATACGACCGTTTGAAAAATATGACAGTAAAAAAATGTAACTTTCACAAAAATATAATTATATTTAAAAGAATGAAAAACTTAATAATTTGAAAGAAGTTAGTTTTTTTTTTTTTTTTTAGATGGGAAAGAAGGTAGTTAAAGTATAAGAATATTTTAATAGAAGATAGCTAAAGTAGATAGCCTTGTTGGAGTCTATATTAAAAAAATGACTAGCTAAAATAGTAAAGTGAAATTTTGAATGGCTATTTTGACTATACTTACTAGAGATGATCTATAGCTGGTCAACTACTTCGCATTGGTTGTAATCCTTCCTTTCGCATTTTTTTTTTTGTTGGGTTCAAAAACTTGTCGGTATATATTGTTTTTGTTAAAATTTCAAAATTTGATTCTAAAATTTTGCTTTTTAAAATCGAAATGATTCCATGTCAATAAGAAAAACATGTAAAATTTATTAATTTGGGTTGACATTACTCTACTTGGAAAAAAAAAAAATTACAAAATCATTCTAAGGAGACGAGATAGTGATCTCTATACTATACTATAATAAATAGTATTTACTAAAATTACTTCCTTGTTGCGGAACTTGAAGGTTACATCTTTTGTTTGAGCAATGTGGTTGGATTCATTCTTGCATTATTATAAACTATGCATTGGCAAACTATCGAGAACCAACCTGAACCCTCCTCCCTACCTCTACCAATTTACAATTAAACTCACCTTTTCACCATCTCATCATATCAATCATCATCATTATGGTACTCCAACCAAACATAAATATATAATAATCTCCAATGGAATAACTAAAAATATGTGTTAAAATGTGTTATATAATTCAAAGTGATAAAAGTAAAATCTAATTGTGTATTAAGTATTTGTTAGTTTAGGAAACGAATACTCCAATGGTGTAACCAATGGTATAGTTAAATTGTGTGATAAAATGTGTTATATAAAATGTAAGATGCACTCAAATATATATATATATATATATAAATTAAAATTATTATAATTTTTTAAAAGAACTTGTGATTTAGTAACATGATTTAAAAAATAAAAAATAAAAACAAAAACAAAGCAACAGTAGTGTTGCCCAGCTCAACCAACCAACCTCCGTGTGTGCGGTGTGCTAAATGGCTCTCCATTAGCACACCACTTAGCTAACATTTCAACCAGGCAAATTTTAGATTGGGACAACTTTCCTCTTTGTGTGTTATCTTTACTGCAAAATGTGACACTAATGGGCTCAAATTAATAGCCCATTAAGAGCATCTCCAATAGAGTAGTTAAAATTTTATATGATAAAAAATGATAAAAATAAAATTAAAAAATGTGTGTTAAGAATTTGTTAAATTAAAGAGTGAATAGTGGTGCAATGAATGTGTTAATGTGTTTGTTAAGAATATATAAATATATATAGATAATAGATGAAATAAATAAATAATATAGAAAGTGCAGTGGGTCCTTTGCCGCTTTTTCCTACGGCCATCCCTGCAGTGCCCCAAAACGATGTCGTTTTGGGGCAAAATTTCAAAAAAAAAACACAAAGACAAAAACACAAAAAAAAAAAAACAAAGACAAAAACACAAAATCATTTTTTTTTTTTTCCAGCTCTCAAACCAGAGAGACCCCATCTAAAACAGAAAACCAGAGAGACGAAGAGGGATGAGCAACGACAACTGTGGCGGCGAGGCCACACTCGGTTCCTCCGACTCCATTTCTCTCTTGTCGCCGGCATCCCAACCACCCCACTCATTTACATCGGCTATTCAAGGCTCTGATCGAAGATTTCAGATCTTAACTAACTCCCAATCGGCGACGATGAAGCCCCTTTGGTGTTGATCACTTCATGACGATGTTCGGTGCATGATCAATGAGCTCGAATCACTCGATAAGCCCTCACGACTCTAGATTTTTGTTTGTAATGAATGGGTATTTTTTAGACATGAAAATTGTGTTGAAAATCAAACAAATCAAACCCACAACCACAACCACAACCACAACCACTGTGTTGAACTTAACAGATGTGATTTCTTTCCATGGAGAGAGAGGGGAAGAGGTTGAGGAACTTGACAGTTTCATGATCTAGAGCATTTGCCCAATATAGCTTGTTAACAAATTTCAAGTCTCTGGTTTCATGGATGAAAGGGCTTTCAGGGTGTTTGAATGGTTCTTTGTTTGTTTCTCCTCTGGTTCAATGGGAGTTCGTCTTCCCTTCTTTCTCTTCTTTGTTTGAAGCGATGTTCATCTTCCCCTCTTTCTCTTCTCTGATTCTGCGTTTTTGTTTTGTTTTGTTTTTTTTTTTTTGAAATTTTGCCCCAAAACGACGTCATTTTGGGACACCGTAGGAACAGCCGCAGGGAAAGGCGACAGAGGATCCAGACTCCAAGTCCAGATCATCTGTCACCTTTTACTACGGCCACTTCCTGTGGTGTTTACTATAACGACGTCTTTTTGTTTAGTGTGTTTTTTTTTTTTTTTTCAAAATTTGAGCTTCCCCTGACTAGTAGGTCCCAAAACCAAACAAAACAAAAAGATACCCACAACACTACAATGCGCAATACACACAGAGAGAGAGAGAGAGAGAGAGAGAGAAGGGGCCAAATATAGCCAATACTCTTCATCACAAATCAAAGCAAAGGTCTGTCTTTACTTCCATTTATGTTTCTTCCTTAGTTTCTTGATCCTTGGTTGTTGGTTGTCTTTATATTCTCACACCCTTTTCATCTTTATATGAAAGAGAGATTATATGATTAGGGAATAACCCTAAAGCCCTTCAAGTCCAACCTAGTTTTGTAGATTCATTCAAATATAAATATATATATATATAGAGAGAGAGAGAGAGAGGAGAGAGATGATGTGTGGGAAAAAGGAAGAAGAATAGGGGGAATGTTCTCAAAGTATCCAAAACAACATACAAAGCTACCAACAAGACTCTGATCGAAGATTTCGGATCTTTGGATCTTAACTAACTCCCAATCGACGACGATGAAACACCTCTGGTGTTGATCACTTCTGTTGACGATGTTCAGTGCATGATCGATGAGTTTGATGAGTTTGATAAGCTCGAATCGCTCGATAAGCCCTTATGGCTCTGGATTTTTGTTTGTAATGAATGGGTATGTTTTTAGACATGAAAACTGTGTTGAAAATCAAACAAAACAAACCCACAACCACAACCACTGTGTTGAACTTAACAGATGTGATTTCTTTCCATGGAGAGAGACAGGAAGAGTTTGAGGAACTTGACAGTTTCATGGATCTAGAGCATTTGCCCAAATTTCAAGTCTCTGGTTTCGTGGATCAAAGGGCTTGTTAACAGATGTGATTCAAAGGGCCATCGTCGTTGTCTCGTTGCGCCATTGTTGCTGGCACTGGGAGGGGCTCATGGTCGTTGCTGTTGTCTCTGATTTGAGAGCTAAGAGAGAAGAAAAAGAGGCTCAAAAGCAAAAGAAGAAGAAGAAGAAAAAAAAAGTCCAAAACGACGTCGTCTCGTTTTGGACTGCCATAGGAGTCACCGCTGGATACCACGGCAGACGATCCGGACTCCCGGACTCCACCCTACTGCACTGTTAGTGTTCTCTTATTCCCACTGGATACTCATATTATTTTACTACAATGGGTCCACAATCACTTGTTAATTCAGACTTTAACGTTAACAAGAAGTTTAACATCTAACAATAAAAACAACTCTGAACTTAAAACATAACAGCTCTATTGGAGTACAAAAAATGGGAATCACTTCATTTACTGATAAAATCCGACACTAAATTCATTGAAGAGTCACCATTGTGGATGCTCTAAGATCATCTCCAATAGGGTAGCTAAAATTATGTGTTAAAGTGTGCTATATGACAAAAAATGATAAAAATAAGACCCAAAAATGTGTATCAAGAGTTCGTAGATTTAGAGAGTGAATAGTGGTGCAATGGATGTGTTAATGTGTGTGTTAAGGATATATAAATATATATATATAATAGATAAAATAAAATAAATAAAACAAAAAGATATATATAATAGATAAAATAAAAATAAAATAAAATAAATAAAACAAAAAGTGCATCGGCCCCCACCCATCAGTGTGCTCTCTTCCTTATTCCCACTGGATGCCCATATTATTTTATTACAATGGGATCCACAAGCACTTGTTAACTCTAACTTTACAGTTAACAAGAAGTTTAATATTTGACAATTAAAACAACTCCAAACTTGAACAGCTCCACTGGAGCATGAAAAATGAGAATCACTTCATTTACTGATAAAATCTGACACCAAATTCATTGAAGAGTCTCCATTGTGGATGCTCTAATAGAACTACTACTGGCTTGCAGACTTTCATCAAAGCTCAGGGATATATAGTATTATAATAGATGAATGGACAACCATCGTAAAACACTTGCAATATTGAGGTTAAAAAAACCTCTCCTTTTTTGACTCCTACCTGTTCACAATTCCAACATGTGGAGTCATCACAGCCTCACAGGGACCCTAGGAACCATAACCCAGCAAGCTACAAATTGTTTAACCTCAAAGCAAAGTCAAATACAATAACTGTGGGTAAGCATTAAGCAAGCAGCAACATGTGCATTACGTTACTTTACATTACATACATTATGTGCCATGAAAAGCAATGTAAATATTAAAACACTCTACCATCACAATATTTCAATTCAAAAAATAAAACAACAGGAGAGAGAGAAAGAGAGAGAGCCAAAATTTTCATTCGTCTTCTTTAACCATGTATCAACCGGTGCAGCTAGGGCACTGTCATGTTTCTTGTTTTCATAATACAAGACTACCATGGCTTGTGAAAATACACAAATGATTTCTGCAGCATTACAAAGGACAAGCCACATCAGTGGCAGCAAGATGCTGGACCATCCTATCCAACTTTAGTTGTCTTTAATATACTCTTGGGAGGTCAGCTTTTCCGTGAATCCCATGTAATATATATATAAATATATATATTTAATAATCTTAGTAGAAAGTGGTTATGACGATCTGATATCATTAATGACAAACAAACCTGTATTGGATTGAATATCCCATGTATAAACTGTTCATCTTGCTGAAAACCAGCCTTCAGTTACCTTGGGACGGATAGGGCATATATCAGGTTGCCTCACAATGTAAATCTGATCCCCAGCTTTACTCTCTGAGTCCTGGTTCCGGTACCATGTCCACAAGGCCCAAGTATCATTTTTCACCTGCAATTCATATATCAAAAACAATCATCACCTGGAGTTTTAAGAGTTTCACCAAGATGTTTTAGTAAGGGTTCAGATTCCCTGCAAAGTCCCCACTGTATGGTTACTAAGAATATGGACCACTTCATGCAGAACATGGTTTTCCCTATTAACTAAAGAATATATCCTCCACATGCAACTAATGGTTGAGATGCTTAATTTTTGGTCAAATTACACCACTCAGCTATGCTTAATGTGTGTTTCTTAGAAACAGAGGGTGTGTTTGGTTTGTGTTTTAAGATAAATTTTCAAAAAAAAATTTGGGGAGAGAGTTTAAAATTTTTTTTGTTTGTTTGGTTATATATTTTGGAAATAGTTTTGGAGTTTGGGAGTTTTGGATAATTTGATATTTTGTTGTAATTGAGTAGATGTGTATGAGAGAAAAAGTGATTGAGAAGGAGAGAGGAGAGAAGAGAGAGAAAAAGTGATTGATTGATGTGTAGGAGAGAGTATTTTGAAAAGAAATTTCAAAAAATTTGAACCAAACAAAATTTTGAAAATTTTTCTCAAAAATTGTATCTTGAGATACAAACCAAACAAGCCTAGAATGTTTCGTATAGAGATGGGCATTTCAGTCGTCAAATTATGTCTTCCTCAAGATAAGGTCAGTTTAGGCATATCACAGTAATTGAGTTATTGTGTGCAAGTCCCAACTATTTGGGTAATTCTATTTACACATCACAAAACTTCTCAGTACGTATCATTTTCATAATTTTTTTTATTACACTTATATCCCTTTATCAAATTACCATTTTGGACATAATTCTAACCCTAGACTCTTTTGGGCACCACCACCTACCACCAGTCTCCGCCGTCTACTTTCATTCCCGGCCACCGTCATTGAAACCTAACCACTATCGTAACACCCATAACCTCTTTACCTTGCCAGCGACAACTTTCCTCTCTGCAAACCCTCCTCTCTCCCCCACCAGCAAACAACCCAGCCCCCCACCTCGGCCATTGCCGGCAAAGAGAGAGAGAGAGAGAGAGAAAATCCTACGATTTTCAGATCTAGATCTAGGGTTTGCAAGAGTTCGATCGTGCAAACTAGATTTGAAGCTCCAATCTAGGATTTCAAGCTTCGAATCGAAGCTTCACCACTACAGTTGCCTTCGACGAGAAACTCCTCTCCGATGGGTTGGGAAAGATCACTGTAGAGGGAGGATTACGGTGGTGGGAGTGGGTTTGGCAGTTTCTAGAGATAGAAAAGAAGAAGAAGGAGGAGATGGGTGGGACGAGAGGTTGCGGCAGCAACAATGGGGAGGTGGTGGAGCCGGTGGTGGAGGGAGGAAGGGGGTGGAAAAGGGTTTAGGAGTGAGGCTGGTAATGATGAAGCAAGATGAGTGATGGATAGAAGAGTAAGAAAGAGATTCACCGGAGAAGAAGGAAGAGGAAATGACGGCCCTGGCGATGGCTAGGGTTAGGGTTGGTGGGGTGGTTGAAGAAGATAAGGATATTTTAGGTATATTTGAAAATGAATGGTGTGCATTGAGCAAAAATAATAAAATTAAAATTGTGTTTGATGTGCAGAGTAAGTGGTGTATATTGAGATTATGTGGGATGTGTAAATAGAATTACCCCAACTATTTTCCATCCATTTATGTAACTGACTGTTAACAAAATGTTTACATTGATATAAATTTATAGAACAAGGTGGCAAGTGAAAAGTTTTTAGTTTAAGGGGTTAAAGTTATGTTGAGCCATAGTTGAAGAGGGTTAAAGTGTAATTTGCTTTTAATTTTTCACTTATACATATCAGTTTCATTGTTTACATTCAATGAACATCCAGCCATTTGCAAATTCACTTAAAGACATCGGTACGAAGCGTTCTTCGAGAGCATATGGTAGATATTCTAATCATTCTGAAACTGGCATATGCATTTCTTTTGTAGGAATTGACAATCCAAAATAAAAATTGTCATATACGCAAGTCCCCACTGTCTTACGATGAGGTAATCACATGATGCACACATAGCTTAAAAGTTAAATCTATATTCTAATCTCGTATTTTTCTTTATATGAATAGAAGAAAAGGTCAAAAGCAGCCAGATGGCTTCATACAGTTAAATGTACTCTTCCCACTACTCTTATTCAATCATTTGATTCAATGGAATGACTATTCCCACTTACATAAGGTGTACCAAACACAGAAAAGGAAATGCAAAGCTGGAATGGGCGTTCCATTTCAGCCCATTCCATTGTACCAAACAAAATGTTCCTCTATTGTCTTCACTCTTCATTAATCCAGGTGTTCAATTTTCTACAAATTGTACATCACTATTTGAGTTTGACAATAAATTGGAGAGTTCGACCGTATTATGGTATTTCAAGAGCAAGAATCAGAACGGTCAAGTCATTGAGTCTCAATCTGCAACAACCCATTGCACTTACAATATATTATCAAAAAGAGAGAGAAACATATACATCATACTAGTGATAAAGTCTTAATCAGTTAATTGCTTAAATCTGGTAAGTTTTATTTCTCTTTTGTACAGTGTTATTCGAGAGAGAAAGAGAGGGTACCTCTAGGATCCCATGGCCAAAGCTGCTTTCCCTGAAAGCACTGTAATCAGGTTGCCGGTCCCAGCAAAATTTACCTGCTGCTGGACCAGTTGTAAAGTTTGTTGCACAGAAACCCCCCATGTATGGATCTGGAGTTGTCAAAGGTTCTGGGCAGTGACCAGGTGTGTCAGCATGTTCAATTGCCATCTTCTCTCGGTTACCTCCATCTCCCACTGTGATATAAACAGGACCACATGGATCTAACGTGTAGTTATAAACTCGATTTGACCTCTCGTAAGCATGAACCTGGTAATTTTTGCATAAACAGAATGAACTTTCAATGAATAGGAGATGCACTGGCATATGTAATAACCAACTACTTGTTCTTTCTATTTCTTCTTTTGCTTTTTCATCGTGGACACAATAAAAAAACATGTGAGAACATGTAAGAGAATTTACCAATTGGTCCTGTCTAAAAGAACCACATTTTTTAAGAAGTATTTCAAATAAGTATCAGTTAGCTTTTCATAGAATTAAAAGGACTTCAATTTTGTTATAGGTACAAAATGTACTTACGATTTTACCAAATGATTTTATTTTAATTTGTCTTGTTCAGTTGAATCCATTATATAGGAATAAGTTGCCTCCTCAATGAAAAGCAAAATGGAATGGTTTTGTTCACATGTGATGGTCAAACGCCCCTTGATCAATGGATATACAATTCCCCTTTCACATGCCAACTCTCTCACAATTTGCTCAGCTACAAGAAAGAAGCAATGAAGGATGGTGATATAAACTGGTGGATATCATCACTTACATGTCCATTGAAGATTATATCAACACCATAAGAGTAAAGTAACTCTTCCATTGCCACCCTCATACACTCCACTTCTCTGTAATGGGCTTTGTAAGAACTGTACCAGGGTGGGTGCCAAGCAGCTACCAGCCATGGAGTTATAGATCTGTCCACATTAGCTAAATCCCTCTCCAACCACTTATATTGATCACCTGCAATGAAAACAAACAGACAAATGAACGAAATCATAAAAAAACGAACAAAAAGGCAATGCCTATAAACAAAATAGTAACTCAAAGGGATAATATACTTCATATTGAAATGAAAGATGTTGGATAACAAATAATTCTCCAACCTGTAGCCCCACAATTTATATCGACATTTAATAATTTATTATATTCTTACAAGTTGCCAGCAGTGGCGGAACTGTAGAGGGGTCGAAGGGGGCCATGGCACATTGGCACCCCCAGCCTATGTTACACGGACTTAGGTATGGGTGTTGGTGTGGGTGCGTATCTAGAGGTCGGACTCATCAAACCTTAAATTTAAGGGTATACGGACTCTGCAAAAAAGATCATATTTTTATATTTTTAATCTATTATGTGAGATAAAATGGTGTCATATGTAACATACAATACCAAAAAAGACTTTTATATCAATTATACAACAATATGTACATATAACAATAGTGCTAAATATAAATATATAAGAATTGTCCGATGAAAAGCATTCGACATATCGCATACCTTTATCCAAGTGTCTGGTGTTGGACATGAGTATTTGATTTATTTTGAAGAGTCCGTGTAACATAACCTATTCAAAATAAATCAAATATCCGTGTCAATAGCCTGACACTTGGACAAGGGTGTGGAATGTGTCCAATACTTTTCATCGGACACTTTTTATATATTTGTATTTAACACTATCATTATATGTATATATATTGTTGTATAATTTCTATAAAATGAGTAAAATGCCTTTTTTAACATTATTTGTTACATATAACACCATTTTAGCTCGCATAATATATGAAAAATATTAAATTATGACCCCTTTTTCCCGAGTTTGCATATCCTTGAATTTGAGGTTTGATGGTTGCAACCTCTAAATATGCCCCTGCACCCGCTAACTGTACTTAAGTCCCTGTAACATGTGCTATATGACTCGGGTTGGCGCTTAGTTATGAGGTTTGTGGTGGTTAAATTTATAATGGAATTGGTGATGAGGCTTTGTGATAGTTGGTTATGCGACTTTTGTGATGTTTTTGGCTTTGACTCAAATTCGTTTTGGTTATGGAACTTTTGGTGTTTGATTATGAATATGAGGGTTCGTGGTGTTTTGTTATGAATTAAGGGTGCATACTGTATGCACCTCTTTAAGGTTGTGTATAGTAGCACTTCCCTATAGTTTATTTACTCTAGTGAGATTGTCTTCTTGCAGGTGCCCATTACAAAATATTTTAAATTTAGATTTTGTACAATCAAAAGTTTACAATGAAAAGATAGGGAGCTTGAAAAAGATGGGAATATATATGTATATAAAAGAAAATTCTCTGCACTTTACATTAATAAATTGGACAAAAAAAGACAAGATTATTAATGATTATTAATGAGCAAATATCAACTGCAACTAAGTGAATAAGGGACGAAAGAAGATTACAATCAAATTAAAATTGGCAATGAATTTCAATTTCTATAAGAAATTCAGAAATTTGAAGAACAAGTGGAATCCACAAAAGTTCAAATAAAATGTACAATAATAATAAGGAATCAAAGATGATTACAATGAAGTTAAAATAGACAATGAATCTCAATTTCTATAAGATTTTCAAAATTTGAAGAACAAAACCACTTGGAAAACTACTGACATTGTCAATACAAGACAAAAATTTAGAAGAAATAGATTGATCATCATTAAACTGTATCAATACAAGACCCTCCCTCCAAATAAAATATCCCACTTACGCTGCTGACACATACTCAAATAAAGTAAAGATCAAATCATGATGTTTAAAAATAAATAAAAAACAAACAAGAAAATAAAAGAAAACCTAGAAATAAAATCACTTGAAAAAAAAAAATAATAATAATCTGTGCGTTTGGTTTGAGTTTTTTGGATTAAATTTTTTGAAAACTGGGTTTTTTTGTTTTCGTGTTTTTTTGTTTTAAGTGAATATTTTTAAAATTTTAAACATTTTTTTACTTTTTTAGATGCACCTTACTTAGATGTATCTAACAAGTAAAAAAATTGTGAAAAAATATTTTAAAAAATTAATAAATACAAAAAAATACAAAAAATGTACTGAATTCTCGTTTTTTTTTTTTTTGGTATTTAGTGAATTTTTAAAAGATTTTTTTCACAAATTTTTTAACATTTTATGCTATATTTATTGTTAGGTATATCTAAAATAAAAAAAAATACTAAAATATTCTAAAAAAAAAATCAAACTAAAAAAAAAACACGGGAAAACAAATGAAAGTTCAGGATTTTCTGACAAAAATATTTTTGGACAAACCTCTAACCAATAAAATCCTAGAATTTAAAAAATTTCAAACATGATAGCCACCAAATTACCAAAATGCTGAAAAGCATGTCATGATGCCAATCAACCAAAACCACCTCAAATCACAGATAAACCAGTAAAAAATTTCCACAGCAGGAAAAAGATGAAATGCATATGTTAAAAAATTAAATCAGCCAGAAAATTGTAATCAACACTGCCACTTGTATTCTCCATCCCCATTTGATTGAATTTGTCATGTTTCTTCCCCCCCCCCCCCTCCCCCCCCTCCCCCCCCCCCCCCCCCCCCCCCCCCCCCCAAAAAAAAATGTTCAAAATGTTTTATTGCAGAAAACTTCTCATAGATGGTGTATGCTTATATATATATATATATATAGAGAGAAGAGAAGAGAGAGAGAGATGTTAGCATTTAGTATACAATTAAACATCTAGCTTTGTTTCCTCGTAGATTAATAATAGATTCATTTTTCCACATGTAAGACTGTTGAAGTCAGTAACATAGTTCTCCTTCATCAGACTTTTCGTACTAATCCCACAGACTGGTTTATTCTCCAATAGCTCTCTAATGACCATTTCAATGTCAAACAAACGAAGTTTATAATTTAATCCTTGCGTTTTCGTCTTAGTAGGGTGTGATGCAACTGCATACTCATCAGTCATAAACATCATTGTGCAAATAATTAAGACCACAATGGAAGAAGAAAAAGAAAAAAAGGAGAGAGATAGGAAAGAAGAAAAACACATATATTTCATTCTTACGACTATTATTTCCAACTAGTGCCACTAAAAATCGATGCCTGACTAAGAGACTTCTGATCAAATGCCAAGAATGAAATTAAACTATGCTTGTTTGCTGGAAATTAGTGTTATGAAAAGCAATAACACAACAATACCATCTATAACACAACAATACCACCAACAAAAAATAAAAATAAAAAAGCCATGAAAAAAAAAAAGCAGAACAATATAATGAGTACAGGTGGCAGAAAACAGTAAAATCATAGATCAACAGCCTTTGAAATTTTGGCAACTGATTGACGCCACATCCAAAATAAGAAAGTGCAGAATAGTCATCATCTCAGATTGATATTATATTAATACCAGCCAAACATCATCAAATTATAGTTAACTCCATCAAAATATTGTGTAAATTAAATTCTAATATCAAGAACCACAGATTTAATGTTACAAAACATGAAATGAATAAATAAATAAAACAAAATGAAGTGGTCAGAACTCGGCAAGTCCTAAAGAAAAAAGTTTTTCCAATGAAAACACAACACCACCATAAATTGAATTGCTAATTGAACCAACATTCAAGTGCTTAAAAAAAAATAGTAGTATATGTAACCTTCAACAGATCAGACTATAGTAGAGTCACAGCAAGAAAAAGTCATAAACACATTTGATCAAACTCTCTATGAAGGTGATTGTACTAATCTTTCCTGCTTTTTTGTCAGATTAGATCAAAACAAAGAATCATAAACAAGTACAAATCAAATGTTAAGAACACAAATTTGAAACACGCAGATCACCCCAAAGCTGTTGCCCTTGTTCTAATTTCAAACCTTCTGAGTTCATCTCTCCATCTCCAAATCCAAGGACAAAAAACCAGGAACAACAATGGAATAACCATACAAAAGGAAAAGAAACGAAAAATTGGCCACAAAACTAGTACTCTTCTTTTAATCCAAACTCCCAAAAAATTGCAAAAATAGCCAAACAACAACCAAATCAGAATCTTTTTTAACCTCAAATTAGCAAAAACAATCATCCGAATAACAAACAACAGCTAAACATATAAAAACTAAAGTAGAAAACAAGTTTAAAAAAGAAGGGCCATTGTTACCTCAACAACACCGAAAAATAACATAAAGATGACCTCAAAGCTATAGCTCTTGCTTTGTTTTGTAAAACTTCCAAGTTCAACTCTTGAACTTCAATTTTGGTTAGGAATAGAAGCCTGATACATTTAACTTAACCTTGACTTGTTTTGCCACCATCAAATATCGGTTCATCCTAGTCACAGTCTAAAGGGTACTTTAGAAAATTCACACTCTTGAAGGGTTGAAAGCTCATTTGTGATTGATTGTATGTATTTAACCTTTGAATCATCAACCTCATTATTTGCTTTGGTATTATTTTTTAGCCAGTCCTCATCCTCAACATGACTCTAACGACCTCAATTGGCATATTGGCACCATATGCTCATATAATTCGCTTATTATAGAGAGGGGGGGAAAAAACCCTTAAATACTCGGACAACATTCATTATATAGTTGATAATTGTGCAAATAAAGTAAAAACACATTGCTTCCATCTAAAAGGAAACTGTAACTAGATTCACACAAGCATAACCAGTCAAGAAAAATGCATACCCAAGGTTAGATGATTGTCGCTACACTACCTATTAAATGATATACAAATAAAAATAAATAAATAAGCCCAAGAATCCACCAGCAAAACTTGATCGAAAAGCCAAATTTGACATCTAGCAAACCAAACACAAATTTCACAAGTCACAAGGTGCCATGGCAGGGATAGAACACTTGATGTTACTGGAACAGAGGGCACTGGAACGTTGAAGATAAGATTATAGTGTTAAAGATATCAAAATATATGGAAATATCATAATATATGGAAAACACATTCATCATTTTCAACCTCCTCTTCTTCCTCATCCTAACGGAA